TCCATTAATATTTTTTGGATTTGCATATACAGGGTGACTCAAAAAAATTAATGAATGCGTAAATATATTTTATTGATTTAATCAGGAACTACAAAACCGAATGCTCTGAAATCTTGCAGATGTTTTAAGGTCATAAAGAGCATAATAAATGTTTAGTCAAAATATATTTGCTTATCCCCTCCAAAAACTTGATGACGTCAGCTCGAAAGTTTGCCGAATAAATCATATCTAAAATGTACAAAATATGATGAGCCTGTACTTGTCATTTATCACTCCATTCATATTTTTTGGATTTGCATATACAGAGTGACTCAAAAAAATTAATGAATGCGTAAATTTATTTTATTGATTTAATCAGGAACTACAAAACCGAATGCTTTGAAATCTTGCAGATGTTTTAAGGTTATAAAGAGCATAATAAATTTTTAGTCAAAATGTATTTGGTTATCTTCTACAAAAAACTGATGACGTCAGCTCAAAAGTTTTCCGAATAAATCGTATCTAAAATGTACAAAATATGATGAGTCTGTACTTGTGATTTATCATTCCATTCATATTTTTGGATTTGCATATGCAGGGTGACTCAAAAAAATTAATGAAGGCGTGAATTTATTTTATCGATTTAATCAGGAATTACAAAACCGAATGCTTTGAAATCTTGGGAATATTTTAAAGTTATTATAAGCATGGTAAACTTTTGTTCAAAATGTATTTGTTCATCCCTCCTAAAAAAATTGATGACGTCACCCTTAAATTTTGCTGAATAAATCCTATCTAAAATGCAAAAAATATGATGAGTTTGTACTTGTGATTTATCATTCCATTCATATTTTTTAGATTTTCTTAAGAGGTGCTTCAAAAAAATTAATGAAGTCAATTTATTTTATTGATTAAATTAAAGGCAACACTTATTATTAGTATTACACCCCAACCAACCCAATTTGGTAGACACAAAATTTGTTAAAGGAAAAACTCGGTTGAAACATAAGGGTAGCACGCTTATTTACATCGACTTTAACATTACAGACCTGCATTTGTTTTATGCGTTCACTTGATTCCGCGAATGTGAAATAGACATGTTTATAATCAACCACTTGTGAATTTCACCGTCAAGAATTAAAATAAAACCCAATGTTTTATATAATAAGCGGAAGTCGAAGCAATAAAACCGACGGTCGTTTTGTTTACAGTTTCTGTGTTTGGCTCTCACGTATGCTGTTACGCCTGTCATCTTAAATTAACAATGTTTATACATACACGATTTTCAGTTGCCTCTGATACGTAGGTATACGTGAGTAAATTGTTTCGTTATTTTATTGATTATTACAAATCAATATTCAAACGACCCAATTCATTTTCCCGAAAATTTGAGAATATAATAATTTTATTCTTAGTATTACACTACATCTATCCCAACTGATATACGTGTCCTTGCAAAAATGTTGATGACGTCATCGCAATTTTTTTTTAAATTCCCACTACAAAAATGTAATGAGAAAAAAAACACAATAGGCATGCAGTCGTCAAGTTTCCGACAGCGAGGGAAGTACTGTCTAAACTCTTTAGACCAATTTTTTTTCTACTTTGCGTCGCTAAGGAACTCTTTACGAAACCCATTTGGGTATCGAAACAGATCTCATTATGAAACGCGATTTTTTATCTTACTAGGTTGGTGGTACCCGCGACGCTGGTTAAACGTTAAAACAAAACTACATAACCTCACAACTATTAAAACCTTTTTAATTGTTCAATGTGTGCCCAGATCCTTGGAATCATTGCAAACATTAATGGTAACATTACAAGAATTCTGAGCAGTAATGGTGATGCCTGGGAAATTTGACCAGGAACAAAGTTTTGTTGGATTGCTCGTATATCTCTGATGTGCTGGCGCTTGTGCCTTGTACTCGGATGCAATGAGAACATTTTTTATTATAATTTTCACATTATTTTCACTACACTACCGTTCAAAGTTCTCAAATTCTTTTGTATACAAGTCCTTAGGCTTCTGGGCAACAGTTTTGTAACTGTATCCTCGGCAATTTCGCGAAATTCGGACGGGGTACAATTTCCCTCGCTTTCCATAACCCTTGTTTAAAGAATTATTCGCAAAATTAAATTTCGTTGTTCAAATGTTTGAAAATACCACCCGTAATAATGTAGACAAAAAATCCCTAAATCTCCTTTTTTTTATTTTACCGAATTTTTGATTAAATAACGCGCAAAGTAGAAAAAATAGTGTATTATACTCGTTTCATAAGACGCATCGTCGCACTCGTGTCTTTGAAGCACTCGTGCGCCAATAGAGCGTCTTATGCAACTTATGTAATAATATACTATTATAAGCACCCAAATGCGGGCGTAAGTTGGCCTTTATCGCACAAATCTGTCAAAAATTGCTAAGCAACAATTGATTATTCATTTACCCTACTCAATTATTATTCAAACAAGCTTCGATACTCAACATTTTTTTTTAAGTTGGAAAAATAATATTTTATCAAATCATTACCTGACCGACTTCAAATTCTTCTAAACTTTCTTTTGAATAAACGTTTTCCGCTTCTTTAATTTGCATTTTGAAAAACGAATTATTAAATAATGAACGTGGTATCCATAACAACATCAAAATAATAGCCAGCTATGTATTAAAGTTCGCATCGGCACAATTCACAGTCTTGCCGAAAATACTCAATATTTCGTTAAAAATAGTTTATAGACTAAAATAGAATATAAAACGTGGTATGTACCACGTGCATAATTGTCGATTGTGGCACTCGGGGAATTAAAAGCCCTCCTTCGTCGGGCTTTAAACATTCCCTGGTGCCACAATCTCCCTGATCATGCCCTTAATACATAAATAACTAGTATTCTATTTAAGAATTGTTTATAAGCACCTAAATGCAGGAATAAATTGGCCTTTATGGCACAAATCAGTCGAAAATTGCTAAGCAACAATTGATTATTCATTTACATTAATTAATGATTCAAACAAGCTTCGATATTCAACATTTTGATTAAAGTTGGAAAAATAATATTTCATCAAATAGTTCCCTGACCGACTTTAAATTCTTCTAAAATTTCCTTTAAATAAACGTTTTTCGCTTCTTCAGTTTGCACTTTGAAAATCGAATTATTTGACAAATAAAGGACGTCGTATCCATAACTACAGCAAAATAATAGCCAACTATGTATTAAAGTTCGCATCGGCATGATTCACACAATATTGCCAGAAATGCTCAATATTTCGTTAAAAATATTTTAGAAACTAAAATAGAACAAAACGTATGCACCACGGGCATAACTGTCGATTGTAGCCCTCGGTAAATTAAAAGCCCTCCTTCCTCGAGCTTTAAACATTCCCTCGTACCATAATCTCCCTAATTATGCCCTTAATACAATAAGACATAAATAAATACTATAGATAATTTGCACTAACCTGTTTCACGACAAAAGAAAATTGCGGTATAAGAGGTTGACACCTGTGAGAACACACTAAAAATGCATTGGACTTCAATACCCACTGGGGTATTTCCGTTAGAAAATACATGAAACACTTCTGACTTCCAGTATTGAGCTAGTATTATTATATGGAACACTTAATAAGAGCATCTTAAACCTGAGCATGTATTTGATGATTTACGCACTCTTAGACAGGACTGTTTAATTACCACTACGCGGAAATTTGTTTCACCGCTGCAATCCCCCAGTTGAAGTAAGGTGTGTTTTACGGCGAGTAGCGGGGACGCCTTGATCTGGTCCACAAGGTCGTAGCCAGTGCATCGCTAGGAGTGTTTACAGCTAGTAAAAAAACTACTTCTATATTACTATATTACTTCAAATAATAATACTTGATGTTCTTTTTAATTTTTCAACCACAGGACCACAGATTTGTGATCTTGAAATGTTATATTATGTTGAAATAGTCCAAAAGAAAAATATATTTGTAATCAAACTATCGCCGCGACAGCACTGGTTCTAGCGTATGAGATACAATTCCGCGCGTTATTAATTACTGTTGTAAGATGAAAAATTAGACAACTCATTCTATGAAGTTGAGTACAGTTTCTAAATTGATTCTCTTTTTGGAGTCGCGTTTGTTAATCTCAAAAATCTATTTCAAAATCATCAGTATAATTTATAAAATTTGTACAGCACAACTTAATTCATTAATCATTGCCTTCATTGTTTTGGCGAGAAACGAGTCTTTCAAGCTACTCTACCACAGATGACAGTGGAGTCTTTTAACTTCTGTTAAGCAACTTCAAAATAACTACAAATTTAATAGAAAACTCAATTGTTCATTATTTAAAATAATTGTTAAAACAAAAAGTTCTTGCCACATAAAACATGTTTATAAATAAAAAGAATCATATTATATCTAAGCAGGAATAAATTAAGAAACTTGGGGAAGTACCTATCTACGTAAGATTAAAAACAACGATGAAATTCCACGATGACATCCTCCTCCAGAATTAAACAAATCATACAAACATATATGTAATTAAAAAGCAGTCTAGAACAGTCCACACATTTAGCGAGATAATTATATACATCATTATCAGGCTAAATAAGAATAAAATGAGTAATCTGTATCACTCACACTTTTTGCGCCACTTCCACGATAATGCATACAAAAACTCGTCCAACATTTCGCATCCACGTCAATCATACAAATAAATTTCAAAGTCACCGCCAAACCGTGCTTCTCCTATTGGTTCTCATGCAACCCATTCTGCACCACCATTGGTTGATTCAGATTTAAGCAAGTCATTTATTTTAGCATTACGATTCGTTCACCTTAAAATCTCGTTTTTTCAATAATACAATTCACAATTGAAAACACAACCATTTAAAGACCCAAGGAAATGTCGGCAGTTTCACTGATATAATGACCACTTAATTTAATGAACTAATTTTATTTCCATAATGAATGATCAATCCAGCGTCAACGAACGCTAGTAAATTCCTAAATTAAATGAGTACACTGCACAACCCCAACTTACCCAACGAGTCCCTCAACAGTATCATCTATTGGAAGTACATGAATTCGCTTTCCGTATTTCACATCGGGACATGGCTGGATCCACACCACGTCAGAAAGCCGAACTCTCAGATTATTCCTGACGATTCTATTCATGCGTATTTTTTCATCTGGGCAGTTCTCGTCAGCCAGAACTATACAAACAGTTTCTTTCCTCCGTTTGCCCTTGAGTAACACTGTGTCTCCCCGAAACAGCATGAGCTCATCCATTTTCGCTTGTGAAAGGGCGACGACCGAGTTGTCGTCGTTCGTGGCTTCCTCCACAAGGAGTCTGTTGGGGCGGTCCTTGCGGCGCAGGATTGCGGTGGCCAGGTCATCAGGACTACGAAAAAGTAACTGTTAGTGGAAAAAACGGACTTGAAATTTTCTGCTGGATGTTGCGTAAAGAAGATGGAAATGTTAGAATTTCCTCCATGATGACAAGTTGAAATATTTATGTAGTAATAAAGAAGATGCCGGTTGGTGCATCTAGTGAGAAAGCGCCCTTACCTTTTCCCTTCGGCCATTGTGTTCGGGTTTTATATTAAATGTTCAAAAGCTTACACTAAACAAAACTGCAATGAACTTGAGTGCTACTTTTTACAAAAACCTAAATCACCACAGGCACAATCTAACGATCGTTAGTGAATGACGTAGCTTTTCACTATTTGCTTATTCAACGGTGTCTGACAGAAGACAGTCACGGGGCCATTAATAAAAGATCTCTGTACTAGCGACATCTACTACAGTTTCGATTCGCTGGAAGCCAGCGTGGATGTATACACAGTGACAGAAAATTATTTTTAAAATATAAAATTACGAAAACTGTTGTCCCAGAAATCAAATTTTGAAAATATAGTTTGACTGAAATGTACAAGTTTCGAAAAACGATGCTATACAATAAAAAAATTAAATATCAGATTACAGATTTCTCTACATATATAAAAAAAAATGACTTTAAATCTTTATTCATTTCCACATTTCACTTCCAGTCCAAATTTGTGCCAGAGATAATTATCTCTGTTTGTGGCATAATAGAGAAATATAGTTAGTGGTTTTACAAGTTTGATACCTTCACCTACTGTGCCAGTAAAGTATAAAGGCACTTTGGTAAAAGGATTGTCCTTTACATAAAGATATTCCTATTCTCTAAAACAGGAGTCGGCAACCTTTTTAGGAGAGTGGGCCGCTTCAAAAAAAAAAAAATTTTACGCGGGCCGCACAGCAAAAAAAATCTTTATACAGAAACAATTTTATTAGGATTAATATGTCATAATAAGACAATAAAAATAAAATCTAATAATATAATCACATAAATAAAAAACCTGATTTTGTTGAGAAGTAACATTACAATTCAGTGCGACTTTTGCTGCTGTATCATTTTTGCCAATTCATCCAAGTCGGCGTCAGTTTGCGATACAGAAATCCTGAGAATGTTTTGTAAATTGTCATCAGTCAATCTTGTCCTGTATTTTGTTTTAATAATATTCATCCGCGAAAATGTTTGTTCGCACAAATAAGTACTTCAAAAAATGCAAATCATTGATTTTGCAAAATTCTTAACATTTGGAAATTTATTTTCGGGTAGGCTTGAATAAAACAGTGTTAAATTATTTTCATCAAAATTATTTTTATATATACTATTTGCCTGTAAATCTATTAGTTCTAGTTGTAAATTTTCCGGTGCATTTGTCACATCAAAGTTAAAAGGATTTTCAAATATTTCGATGTCACGTTCTTGCTCAAAAAAATCTTTAAATCGCAAACAGAAATTTTCTTCCAGTAATCTCAAAGAATTAAGATAAACATCATTAGAAATACACTGTTTGTCATTTCTTGTTAACACTGATTGTAAAGTAGGAAAATGACAATAATTATTCCTCTCAATTTGTGAAATAAACAATTTTAGTTTTAACCGAAAACTTTTAATTTCTGTAAATAACTCATTAATTAATTTTCCTTTTCCTTGTAGAATTATATTTAATTTATTGAGGTAAGTTGTAATGTCAACAAGAAAAGCTAACTCGCTTACCCACTGAAAATTTGATATTTCTGGTATACTCTTTTCTTTGTCTGTCAAAAATATTTCAATTTCAAGTCTCAAATCAAAAAATCTTTTTAAAACTTTTCCACGACTAAGCCACCTTACTTCAGAAAAGTACATAATATCTTCATATTCTGCATCGATGTCATTTAAGAACTCTCAATGCAGTTGTAAAGGGGTAGGTGTAATATTTAATTCCGTGATTTTTCTATTAATCAACCCCATTAAACCTGTATTATGACCTGTCATGTTCTTGGCACCATCTGTTGTCACACACCTCAAATTTTCCCATTTCAGATCGTAAATACTAAAAACATTTAATAGTTCCAAAAATATATCTTCGCCTTTTGTGCTTCCATGAAGACTTTTCAGTGCAGCTAGTTCCTCCGTTACACAAAATTGTTTATCAATTCCACGGATAAAAATCAAAAGTTGAGCGGTACTAGTAATATCGTTGCTTTCATCAAGAGCAAGTGAAAAATATTCAAATTTTGTAGACATTCCTTTTAATTTACAAAACATATTTGTCGATATATCTTCAATTCGGCGAACTACTGTGCGCGCAGACAAACTAATATTTGCAAATGTCTTAATTTTATCCGGATAAATTTCATTCACCGCAGTTAAAATGCACTTTTTAATAAACTCTCCATCAGTAAATGCTTTGCCGTGTTCAGCAATTAATTTTGAAATTTGTAAACTCGTTTTAACTAACGCTGAATTTTGTTCATCACACTTTTTAAAAATGTTTTGTTGGGCATGTAATGACTTTTTCAAAGAATCTACTTTATTTTGCCTCAATTGCGATTCTAATTGATCGTACTCATTTTTATGCTTCGTGTCGTAATGACGGCGTAAATTAAATTCTTTAAAAACATTTACAGTTTCTTTGCAAATTAAGCATAATGCTTTATTAAAGTTGTTAATGAAAAAGTAATCAAAAGTCCATTTTTCATTAAATACGCGGTTTTCTTCATTTAACTTTCTTCTTTTTGGAGTTTTATTCATTTTAACTAAAACAAAAAAATAATAATAATAACAAAAGAAAAAAAACTTATGTGTTGCTAATTACAAGTTTTGCAATAAAAAGCAATGAATATTTTTCAAAAAAAAAATATAGAATACCTCTTTTTTCAAATTTAAGTTTTAAAATGTAAAAATACAATCAATTGATGTCAAATTTAACAAAAAAATACGTTGTATTAACTTACCTTTCAATGTAAATTGTATAGCAATAATATTATACATATTTTTTCTTATCAAATTAATTTGGCACTGCAAGACAATGTGATGACACTGATTTTGCCACAAAATAGATTAGTATTATAGAAGCCACACGTTCCTATAATTCACACTCTTTTGGAGTAAGTGGACACCGAACCAGTTGCAAGCGTGTCACAAAAAATGTGTGCATTTCCAGGCAAACAACCTTGTGTACCGCCTATTTCCGGTGCAGTTTACTGAGTACAGATGGTACAAATATTTCTAAAATTTATGATAGTCCACTTTTGTCCTTTTACAGCATTTTCGGGTTTTGTAGATCCCAACTTACTGTAATTATGCAGTTATTTTGTCTGGAACTCAAGCGGGCCGCACAAAAGTTTACGGCGGGCCGCAGGTTGCCGACACCTGCTCTAAAACGTAAAGGACCGTTATAGTCCAGTCACTTTAGCATAAAAAAGGGATCAACCTCGGATTGGGAGATAATAAGTTGAATTTTTGTATATACCTTAATTTTGGCGTTTTAAAAGTTGTCTCAAAACTCAAAAGTCTCATTAAAATCTCGTGTCTGCGTCATAAGTTATTCAAGGTCAAAAGTCAAAATTAAGAGTTTTTCGCGGTTATCTCGGTTTCTATTGCTCCAATGATGTTAATGTCTATTATAATAATTGTAGAGCATAAAATTTGGGACAAATTTTATTTGAAACATTTTTTGATGCGATCAATCGTTTTTGAAGTAGAGGGCGGTGAGAGCGCAGCGCTCATCCATACGTACTGTAGTGCAAGATCAAAAAAAACGTAAGAAATGTACAGCTGCTGAATAAAGATAAAATTAAAATATATTAACTCGTTTTACTTTCTTAAAATTTACTTTGAATAAATTAATATAACTTTAAGATATATGTATAATAGTATAACAAGTATAATATATTATCTAATATATCTACTAAACTTACACGTTTTAAAGATAAAGTACTTAATTATTTTTCTACTTAAAACCTACTTTCAATAAATTAAGATATACAATAAGTATTTCATTTAAAGAGTTTTAAATTACACAAAGTAGGTAAGTATTGTTAAATGAATATATTGAAAATATGTAAAATGTTGTTAAATACAATGTATTAATTGATAAATAATACAAATTATTCAAAATTCAAGCTATTCACAGATATTCACGGTTGATCTTGCATTACAGTACGCTCTCACCGCCCTCTAAGTATCTCAAAAACGATTGAGCGCATCAAAAAATGTTTCAAATAAAATTTGTCCCAAATTTTGTGCTCTACAATTATGATAATAAATGTTAACTTCATTGGAGCAATAGAAACCGAAATAATCGCGAAAAACAGTTTTTTTTGACATTTGACCTGGAGTAACTCACGACGCAGACACGAGATTTTATGAGATTTTTACTAACTACTACTAATTTGACTGGACTATTATAGATCCGTTGCATAAAGGTGAAGTCCTTTATAGTTTCCCTTGTACAACGTATGGTCATATGTGTCACTTTATGCAAATTATCTGTCAGTTTCATTAGTTTTATATAGTGACCGTTTCTAAATAAAAGGAAAGAAATGGAGAATCTGTGATTATTTATCCTAGAGGTAATAAAGGTATTTATGAGTCAGAACAATGATGTCTTTGTCCAGCTTTATAGTTTCATGGTTTAAATTTGTTAATATTAGCAAAAAGCACTAAAAATCGTCATATTAAAGTTAATTAAGCCCAATTTGGTGGAAATACAAATACTTTTACGATGCTCCAAATAGACTGGTAACCAATAAACAACTTTGCAAAAACAACTCCTTTGGAGGGGTCTTCACTTATAAAAGACCAAAAGATCCATTAAAGGCCAGACTCCCCTTACCACACTGACATAAGGGGCCAGTGCTGATATCTCCAAAAATGTGCATGATTTCATAAAATGTTTAATTTTTTAAGTTTTTAATGTTACCATCATCACGAACCATCCTACGAGCAAATAAATACTCCTAATATTTTTACTATATGTCAGGCACAAAGACCACGATAAGAATTTCATATCTCATAAATTAACAAAAGTTAAGTTTAAAAATCTCCCAAGCCCGTCACACGTGAGAGCGATGACAACTCAAGCTGAAATTCCCTAGACTATCCTAGCGAAGTAGCGAAGCCAGAGGCCAGAGATATGTAAAAAAGTCTTTTACATATCTCTGAGCGAAGCTCACAAGAGTCATCACAAGGTCGTTGATGCCACCTGACGTCACAAATGGATGCCTATACCATACCACAGACCATACCAGTGACTATGTATTTAACTCTATACTCACTGACCATACCATGTCTTCTTCTACCATGGTCTGAATCGCTTTTATGTTTATGCGATTGGGTGTCCCATCAAAAAACTGTTAATACGCCACTGAGCTGTAATATATTTGTATATTAGAGCTCAATGTAATACCAGAGAACACAGAGAAGCGCCATAGTTTAAATTAAATGACGGTTGCGGACTCCTCAATTTATGTTGGTAGCAATGTTTGTTTCTAACTAGGGATAAAAGTAACTAGAAGAAATGTCATAATATTTTTAATGACGCGTTTTATTTCCGACAAATTGACACTAAATTTACCAGAATATTACAAGCTGCTTACTGTTTCCTTGACTTTCATTCAGGTCACACGAATTACAATTATAGTGAAACAAGGTTTTTATGGGCGTCGACTATTTAAATTTGGCGCTTGCCTTTGGCAGTTGAGGACTCCAGTGTCAATAAGGGTGGTTTTGCAAAATCAGCCTCTATGTCGCTTCTCTATGTTCTCTGGTAATACCACGGCCAACTGTATTAATAGTATTAATACAGTTGGCCGTGGTAATACGCACATTTTTTGGAAAAGGTGACACACCTTTCCTATTGCGAGAATCATGGATGGACATTTCATTTATGTAATTTCCTCACCCTAGAAAAAGAGGACACTCTTATTTCTCAAAAAAAATGAAAAAAACGGGAAAAATTCAACACCGCCCTCTCCCGGCGAAATTATGTACATTGTTGACAATCTGACAATCTAATGAAAACATCATTATTGTGTATTTTTACTGACAGTTTTGTGATTCAGAAGTTTTAAGGACTTTATAAATCAAAATAGAATGGTATTTTTATGGAAATATTCATCTGGTTGATGCACGAATTCAATTGAAACTATAAATCAACGCAATCTTAAATTCAAACAATGGCTGGGATCAAAAGTAAGTATCACTCTGAAAACCTAAAAAATCGATGTTATTACTCATCAAACACCTAATAATAATTATGATTCAACCCAAAAACGCTGCCTTCCTTGATATCCAAAAGCAAATGTGTTAAATTACCACTGCACAAATTTCCATTATCGAAAACGTCAACTATTTTTTATACGTGATTATAAAGATACTTGAACTGGCCATAAATAATATTTCTCGATTATTTGGACTTCTGTAGCTAATACATTTTTTTTTTCATGTTATTTTCCGCACCTGTAAATTACAGCGTGAGTATTTTCACTGTTTGAAAACTAACTCTGATTAATAACTGTGTGTTCTAGGCTTGTGACTTTGGCCTTTACTGGTTCAATTGGTATGACTATGCTCATATTGGCATGTGGCCTTCCTCAGTACAAGTAAGCAGGCTAAATTTAAAAGCCCAAAGAAACTTCATGTGTTTTAGGTTATGGTGGCCTTTTTTTGTTGTATTATTTTATGTATTAGCGCCAATTCCAACCCTCTTAGCACGAAGATACACAGAACATCAGGGCTCGAGTAATGCCTGTTTAGAAACAGCAATTTTTATTACAATGGGTTTAATCGTAAGCGCGTTTGCATTACCCATTGTTCTGGCAAGAGTGTCAGTCATACAGTGGGGGGCTTGTTACTTGACTTTGGCTGGCAATGTTGTCATTTTTGCCACGCTTCTTGGTTTCTTTCTCACATTCGATCAAGATGATGCTGATTATAATATGTGGTAGTGTGTGTCTGTATAATAAACCTGAAAATAATGTACTCCTAATTATTTTACTTATTTAAAATGTCTGTAAGCTTAATTAATATTTTGTAAAAGTAATAAATTAGTTTATCCAGTGCGGACTTAGCTTTATTAAAACTTTAAACTAATATGGCATGTTTTTTATTTTACAGAAATATTTGCTAGTGCCTAACTTGAGCAGTTTATACAACAAAAAACATACTAATTTTATTTTTGATCAACGAAAGCTAATATAAAATATTAAAAGTGGAAAGTAGGGTTTAAATCCATTAAATCGCAATATTGTATTTACAGATTTTGCAATATTTGATTTTCGAGCGGATCAGAGTCACCTTCAAGTAACTATAATTACGTACACGTTACAGGTATTGTGTAATTTGTGTTGCATATTCTAAATTACCTTGATCACATGAAGGTATACATTCTACACATATCAGCAAAGAAATATTATAATAGTCCAATATTTTTTATGTTAACAGTTAACAGTAGTAGTGTAATTGTGTTTGCACATCTATTTCTGTAATAATATATGTCAAAAATTATGCAACTTATAATACACATTTCTATGTTAACTTGTCCACTCATGTAAAATGTGGTGTCATACATGATACAAGAAAACAAGTCTTTGTATCATGGTGTCATATAGCATTGTTTCCATGGTCTTTAAAGCATTTGTGATAACCCAAACTTCCCGCCTTGAAATTTGACCTTGAAACAGTTTGAAAGGCCCGCGAAAATTCAAAAATTCAAAGTTTGGCCTTGGCTGTGATCGTCTAACAAATGAGAACCTACGTTGTGTGTTTTTTTTTTGTTTTTGAAAAATGGCGGGAAGAAGTTCTTTCATACAAGTGCATACACTGTCGAGAGCGCAAGAAATAATAGACAAAATTAGGAGCCTTCCTAAGGAGGAAAAAGAAACGAAGAACGACAGACGCTCGATTTGCCCTTCTGGCGAGTCCGCAGGGCCAAGGTGTCATCGGTCTTCATTCCCCAAAACCCCCTGGGGTTTTATTCACCGACATATTACATGTCAGACACCTTAAGATATGTGAAAGAAAAACACTCGCGAATTGACAGACATACACATATGAAAACCGAACAAACACAAGACCTACACATATGTAAATTGGATGGCAGAACCTGAATCATTATGAGAGTGTGGCGATCGAACAAAATATAAAACAAAATATATCAATTTCATTTACGAGCACAGCAAAATACCCAGAGGGGGCGTTGTAGCGCAAGTAGAGGTTGGGACTCCTGATCGTCACTGTTCTCCCCCACGACGGTGATTCTATCTACACCAACGCCTGCTCACACGCATCTCTCCATTACGAACGTGCCCTGCGAAACGAGGCGGTTACGATCGCAGATCCGTAGTGGGGTCCCGGCTATCACGAAACCGGCAGCGTTAAAAACCCGCGATCGCCCCCTGAAGCTATACAACACCCGCGGACTTGTGCAGGTGCCGCGATTGATCCCGTCAGTTTGAGAAGGAGTCGCGCGCCCCACGTACACTACGAGTTATGTGTTATTTACCTTAATTTCATTTAAATGTTCAATCTCTATGACTCTAATATTAAATTACAACCGAACAAGTGTTAAAGTTTCAACAAAGAGCAATACACAACATTTAAATTCGCCACACACTCTTACGAAAATTCAACAACAAATAATTCTTAATTGAGATCAAATTTGGATATTAGATAATTTACATGATAGAAACATTCATCAACAAAATATTTACATGATCAAAACTTAACAAAGATTTATAAAACAAAGATCTGCTGTGAAATAGACTTGTGCAAATAAAATGTCATGTTAGGTCAAAACTGCAGAGCATGGAAATTTACGTTCAATTCAAATTATACAACAAGGAAAATTACTGAGACTAAAATTGTGAGATAAAGAAAAATTGCATGAGGTGAAAGATTGTAAAGTTAACAGATTTACATGTGATTAATATTAATTCGTGTCCAGTCAAGTTATTGGTTAAAATTCAAACGTGAAATTATTTAGCTGCATTGTGGGCCATTATTACACATACATTTCCCCAAACAAAACACATAAACAAACATGGTAGACAATCTGCAGTTGCAAAATGGCGTTGGACGAATTCGTCATTCCAAATAATAGGCGTCGAAAATATGCGATGCAAAAATACGATGAATCCTGTGGCGTTGTATAAACGATGTGCTAAATCCAAAGAATTAAGGCACGTCCCCCCATGACCCACAATGTTTGTTAATTTGCTCAATGGATTCAGTTAAAACATGTGCTCGATTAAAAGAAAGAAAATGGACGCTTCAAAATGGCCGCTGCCTGAACAAAGAACGGTGAGAATAACAACTCGTTTGCCGCCATCCAAAATACAGATTTCACAAATATAGCTAAATAAAGCATGGCCCGAACTAGAAATCACTTCCTGTAAAGCCCTACTGCGATGGATTTTAAATGAAAGATAAAAAAAACGAGATTAGTGGAAAAAAAGCGCACGCGTCGATGTGACACGAGGTCAGAAGCATCGTCGGGGCTTGAAACTCGCCGCGAAACAGGTGTTCAAAACATACCTCTCCAAAGATGCGAAGATTTCGACACGGCTTACCGCCAAAAGGAACGCAAAAACCTCGTCGTAAGAACGATGAGAAATCAGGAACACCCAATGGCTCAACGGGGGCTGCTAGATTTTCCAATGGAACGGACCAACACTGGAAACGCAAAACACAACAGCAAAAGGGACAGAATAATTCACAATTAAAAATACAACCTGTTGCTCGAAGCGCTCGAAAAGAAGTGGTCTGTTCTCTCCAAGCGATCAAAAGGAAGTGACCATTTTCAAGACAATACCACCCTCGCTTTGCGCATCTCTGTTTCTTTGGGGTGGTTGGTTGCCAACCTCTCCTTCTTCTCACTAACCGTTTCTTGTGCGCGCGAAATTCGTTTGAAATTTAAAAATTCGAATTGGATCCTTACACATTGCATGTTAAATCTGCATATTAATGTCAATTTTGGTTTGTTTTATATTTAAATACCTAATTGTTATATGTACAAAATCCTAAGTTTTCAAGGAATTGTGGATCAAATAAGGCAATTGTAAATAATTTGTAAATGAAGGCAACAAAACTTCTGTTCGCCGAAGCGGAGGGACAACGAAAGGCCTCATGTTTTTGTTACGAAATTATTTGTGCACGATTTTTAAGGTCCAAATCTACAAGGCAAGTGAACTAAAAATTTCAAGCCAAATTTTTAGCAAGTTTACGTTGTGATCAGTTTATATGAGACGTGGTAAAATGTAAATGTTTTTTGTAAGATTTATAGCCACATTGTTACGATTGTTGAAGGTTGTTGTTATAAAAGCAATTAGCTGCTTTTTTGCAAACACTACCCACTTCTACAGTTTCTAATAAATAATTCATTCTGGAATTCTGGTATACATTAATTTCTTTTTCGATTATTGTCTACTTTGGACCTTTAGTTCCGCTGCAGATATCTAATCGAACATATTTACGTGCGGATTCCATAAATATAAATAATCATCATTCTTGACCATTGCTTGACTCCTATTCATCGTTAGGTATTATACAGGGTTACTCCCGGAACGATCGAATAAATTTGTTATTTGAAAAGTTTTTTTCTGAAATTTGCTTTGTGTAATAATTAAACAGGCGACTTGATTATAACATTTTTCCTTTTTTTTATCGCTTTCTGTTTGACAGACAGGACCGCCTACTTTTTTTTAATGGAACACGTTGATTTTTTTTACATTTTCTGAAACAGAATAAAAAATTGCTTTTAAAATTATCGACAATAAAATTCATGTTTATTTCTACTGAGACAAAAAAATAGAAAAAAAATCACAAAAAACACCTAATATTGTAAAATCACACATAATTCATTGAGATATTTTGTTGATCGATTATATCACTGCCAAATTATAAACGGAGAACATTTTGAACATTTATTATAGGCCCATTCATAGTTTATTATTTACTAGTTTTTCGCCCGCGGCTTCGCTCGCATAAACGATTCGTTGTGTTGAAGAACATTATCACCAACCTTCAAGTAAAAAATGTGTTGAAGGGCAGTAATACAATTTCCAGTAAAAATCGACATAAAAATATTTTTGCTCATAAAAACTTTGTCACCCCCTTTCATCTTCTTAGGGATGGAATCTCAAAACAATCTGAAATGCGTGTTTCATTATTTGTGTTGAAGAGTATTAAAATGTACCAAATTTCACGTAACCATGTAAATTTACAGTAGACATATTGGTCCTATACAAATTTTATCACCCCTTTTTAACCCCCTTAGGGGATGAATTTCGATAAATCCCTTCTTAAGCGATGTCTCCAATACAAAATAAACATTTTCTCCAAATTTCAACTTTCTAGCATTAGCGGTTTGAGCTGGGCGTTGATAGGTCAGTCGGGACATGGCCTTTTATACATATATAAAAATTAGCATTTTCAAAGATGACGTGATTTTACAATACATATTAGGAACTTATTTTTCTTTTTGAGCCAAAGCTATAACGTACTTTGGCTTAAAAAAATCTGGCAGTGTAGATAATATTATTGCTCACCTGGGAATAAAAATTATTTTTTCGTTAAACTATCCATTTTTTAGTTATTGTTGATTAAAGCAAGACCTAAAAAGGGCATTTTTTGTAAATGTAGGCAACCAAACATCTTCTTTCGTCAAGAACGAGCCAAGAAAGTGTATGATTTACGATAGGGGTTGGCCACTATTGAGAGATTAGATGGATTTAAAGCCCTTGTTGAGAAAGTATGCAAATGAGGTGACCGTAGTGTGTTCTACCTGAAAGTTGTGGAATCGTACAATTATGTATTAGTATTATATTAATCCAATTTCAGAATAACAAATAAATAACCGAGTTTGGATTTTTTACAAAACTGCCTAACTTGTTTCAACAGCTATAATTACTGCTGATCCCAAATGTGAGATAACTTAGACAAATTTTAAAATTATCAACCACTGAAAAAGAAAATAATAGAACAACTTTTTCCAAAGCACACTATGAAGATTCGATTATATGTGACACTTATAATCGAGTGTATGTGTTGACATGGCCGATTA